GGTTTATGTAATCCGAAATTAAATTAACACACGTGATAAAAGTTTCGTATTTTTATTGGCATCACATCCGATAGTTAACTAACTAGAGTTTCTTTTTCTTTTCAGATCAAAAATCCTTTATACAGTAAAATATGCAATAAATTTAAATCTATTAAAATCTCTATACAATGGAAGTTAATGAGCAAAAACGTTTTGAAATTAACGCATCGTACTTAAAAAGACCTGGCCGCTTAATAATCACAAATAAACGACTTTATTGGTCTCCTAATAACGGAGAAAAACAGCCTACGGTCAACATTCCTCACGCAGTCTCAAGTAGTAAGTGCCGATCTTAATGGTATTCTAATTTTCAGGACCGTGGATTTAAAGTTATGAGATAGACATCTTGTATCATGCAGATTAATTTGATCAAGTTTTTGACAAACATTTAATACTTTTTGATAGAATTGTTTATTGGTAAAGAAAAGGTGGCCCAAGAACCAAAATTCAAAATATCTACTGGTGGGGCTGATTACACGTTTTCTTTAAGTGGCTGGGATCTTATTCGAAAGATACAGGCAGAGTTAACTAGTGCTATGAACAATGGGAGATCTGCTGCACCTTCCCCGGCTGCTCCTAGATCTGCTGCTGCTTCTCCAGCGCATCAACGTTCTTCTGCACCATCTCCTGTTTCAGGTTCTTCTTCTCCTGCACTTCGAAATGGCTCTCAACAGGTTTCTAGTAAATCTGGTCCCTCATTGCGGAAGCCTGACCTTGGCAATAAACATTATTTGCGTATGCAATTACTTTTACGAGATAAAAACCTTTCAGAACAACACAGAACACTTGTCTTAAAAGAAAAATGTGTCACTGAAGATGAATTTTGGGAACTTCGCCAAGTATGGTTAATATTACATTCATGAATATAATTGTATGCTACCATAATGTGAACGTAACATGAATTAAGGTGATGGATTTATGATGGATTAGGATCTGCTAAGAGATCAGTTTATACAATCGAACCAAAAAAAGGGGAGGTCTTCTGTTATTCCTAATATCCGACCAGTTACTGAAGAAGGAGGCGAAACAAAAATAAATATTACTCCTCAATTAGTTCAGGAGATTTTTGATGAATATCCTCGCGTTAAAATAGCATATGAACAAAATGTAGGCGAGAATAAGGTAAATAATTCTAGCTGGAGTGCGATTTACACTGTTTAGCACTGCTTATAGTATCCCACAAAACAATACCTTTCATGGTTAAGACCTGGATGCAAAATACAGGAACTCGCTACATAATATACCCGTTTACTAATCAACTTAAAAAAAAATGATGATTTTAAATAAGACCCTGAGTACTATAAGCAGTGATAAACGATAGTTTTTTTTTTTTTTTTATGGGTCAATAATAAAACTTCATGTGTCGATATAGCCACTTGGTCATAAGGAATTTTGGAAACGATATGTTCAATCAAGGTTTAATGATAGAAACAGAAGCAATGGATCGAGTGTGGTTAGCGATGATTTATTCGAGAGATGCTGGCAGGAGACGGAGGAAGGTTTGTGCATTTCTTAATATTTTACTGCCCTTTTATTGTTCTATTCCATTACATACGTTTTTTTAAGTAAGAAGTTCATAAATAATATTTAGATCTAAACCAAGAGAGAGAACACAGGGAGCATGGACGTAAGCGAATAAAAATCAGCAATCTTCGAGATCTAAGTGCAACCAAAGAAGATCACATGGAGGTAACAACATTAATGCATACATGTTTGCACATTATGTAAATGCGTTATAAATGTATAATATTTCTTAGGTTGAGTTGGTAAAAGACATAACAATGCGTTCAGGGCAAGGAAAAATTCTTTCTTTAATTCGTCGAAGTAATCGTCATGGTGAAAGAATTTTAGAAACATCGAGGTTGGTTCTGATTTCAAACCGATACAACTAACCAATCACGTATCGCGAAAAAAATTTATTGGAATTTTTCGCTTAATCATCTATTTTCCAGTTCAAAAACTCGGAAATCTAAGGAAAAG